CAACCAAATCTGGCTAGTAACAAGGCCTAATCAAATATTTAATCGGGGCCAGGTTCACCTAATTAGAAATATTGTACCCTATTAAAATAAACAGAATATTTTGCCGCCAATTTATTAAATAGAATTAGCTAATCTAAAAAGATTTACAAAAACAAAAACAAAAAAATTAACATTACAAGCTGAAAAAACTGAAAATTACAGGTTGATGGAATTGAAGAACTGCAGCTTACCGAGGAGGCAAGGACCTTCTTGCTCTTCTTATTTTCTTTATGTGATGGCTACATTTTCTGTAACACAATGGAAGTGGCTGAATATGTTCTAGCATGTATATACAAAAAAGGTTAGAAACACTATAAATTATATTTTTATCATTAACAGAAAATTTTGGGACTCTTTGAAAAATAATTGGGTAGGCCATCAAAAAATATTTTACAGGCTATACTTTATATTGATATTTTACCATCCAATATATCTTCTGCATTTTTACGGAAGTTCAATTCTCTTCATAAGAAGGGATGAAGAACTCCCAAACTTTTATTTAAATTGATTAAGGTCCAATAGTGTTTTAAAATTATAACAGCAGAAATAAATTTATTATCTTCTCTTAACAATTGTAAGCACAAACGCAGTTAGATGTTCCGGGAGTCTTGGGATCGTCAAGACATTTTCCAACTCCGTTTAACTGCGCAGAGCAGTGTAGTCGACAATCGCTAATCTCACAAAAATTGGCTGGATCAATAGTCTTCTTACATCGCTTTTGTCCCACAAAATTTTCTTCCATTGAAAAGGCTACAAGATATATCAAACAATAAATGTTATGATCGTAGTCAAATCGCGGTCGGATTCAAGTCATAGACGACTGTGTAATGTAGTGTCCATTTACGTCATTTTCAAAAGTTTTTTTTCAAGACTCGATAGTCTCTACAACATCATATATAGAGCTATTTACAAGCGCGTGTGTGAATGTGTTATTTCCTCCTTCTGACACATTTCACACAGATTAAGAAATTAATAAAATATACAAATATATTTCTAACTAATATATTTTTATAACATTTAATTACAAATATTATTATCTTTAAATGAGGGGTAAAACAAGAAATAAAAATAAAAAGTTACATTGAAAATGCAGAATGACACTCTTTTTAAAATAAAAAATGAAATCTAAAACGACACTTATTATGAAACGGAGGGAGTAGTAAACAGTACGTAGATTATTATCTTAAAACCTCTAATCTAACAAAAAGTGAGAAAATCTACATATATTTACCACTCCATTGGGTTAGTATCTCAGTTCTCGTTATCGAGGAGATTATATGATTCTAGGAACAGATAATTTTATCATTCCACTATTATTTACAATAAGTGGTTCCAAATTTAATGCGTTTCAAATCAAAACAAAATAAATAAAAAAATATGTTACCATAAAAATTCGTTGTAAAGAAAGATAAGAGAACACATGAAACAATCAACAAAGTAGCAGACTTCATCACTATTTTGTGTAAATAAAATTGAAGTTTCTGTTTATCTTTGAATGTCTTAGGCTGAGTTATTATATATACATAAAGACCAAAAAAAGTTTATGTGTTTACGTATAGAAAATTAACAGAACAAACAATGCATACGTAAAGTACATATACATGAACGCATAAGAAGTGTGTATTCAGTATTCGCAAAACACATAAAATTGGTGTGTTTATGTGTTACGTGTAGAATGAACGGGTCACTCGAGGAAGATCAAGGCTTACATCGGTTTTGAATGAAAATAAAGCAAGCCTTGGTCCTTGACGACAGAGATGAGCAGTGGCTTGACACAGATGATGCCCCAGACCCGGAAGAAAGATCTTTAAAAAAAAAAATAGCTTATGCAAAAAACAGACCCGGCCCAACGAGAATATTGGAGGTCTTTAGAGCATGTATACTGGTGAACCCCTCTTTGATGGAAGATAACATTGAAGATGCTGAATCAGTCATTCATCGATGGATTTCACCTCAACTTCTCGACTCCTCTTCATCATCTTCTTCTTTCTGCTGCATCTCCTCGTTTTTCTCCACCCCTCACCGTTTCAAATTCGCCGGCACACCCACCGCAAAGTTGAGAAGTTGAGGTATCGAGGATTTGAGAACCAGAAGCCGGATTGCAAAGAGACGTCGACATCAATGAGTAAGCAGCGCGAGAGGAAAGGAGAGATAGCGCCGACCTATCAGAATCGGCAAGAGAGGAGATCGAACTTCCGTCACCGTCCTCCGACTGATAAACCCCAGAGAGGAGAGAGGAATGCTTAGAGACTGATCCCGATCAGAGGAGATCCCTGAAACGACAGCGGCAGTTGCCGTGGGTGTGCCGGCGGATTTGAAACGGTGAGGGGTGGTTTCGAAGATTTGAATTTATCGCAGATGCAGAAACTGAATTGGGAGTATTGGAGAAGAAGATGAGAAAACAGCGATGTTAAAAAAAAATTTTGCCAAAAAAAAAAGTTGTCCCCAAACACAATTACTTTTTTTGATCAATGGCAAAGTTCCACGTGTCCAATGAACCCGTCTCTTGATGAACCCGTCTCTTTAATATTGGGCTTTTTTTCTTTTCTTTTAATTGTTTTTGTCTCAAAATCTGGGCCATGAACTCCTCTTAATACTCTAAGGACATAGTCACTTTTTAGGTAATTTCTTTTCTTTTTTTGACCAAATTTTCATTACTTAGGCCATTAAATGCGCATGAGCTAGACCATTGCAATATATCCTGTCTATCTATTTGGGTCGGACTTGACAATTTTTTTTTGTCGGTCGGACTTGACAATTAACCTTCACAAAATTATTTTCTTACGGATGTCACAGAAAAAAGCTATAAATACTATTGATCTTATGGATGATCTACTTAGGTAGGAAGAAGATGTCAAGAAAGAAAAAATCACAACAAAGAAGGGTAAAAAACTCCGAGCATTATACAATTTAGTTAAACACGATTTTGATCTTATACAACTGTTAATGTATTATTACAGGAACTCCAGAAAATCTAAAATTTGAACCAACCCAAGTATATATAAGTCTTTGGGGGTTTTTCCGAAGGCCATTGTAATGATTTATCCAATTGATAGATCCACTAAAAAATTTAAGGTTTAGGAATTTGATTTTTTTTGTATTCACTAATTAAGTAGCTAGTACTATAAACTACACTATGTTTTGTTTTTGTAATAAACGTTGTGTCCCAAATATTTTTGTTTTTGGTATAACGATGAGGGGATATCCGAATTTGATTTTGGCTCAAGTTCAACCGACTTGAATCGTCTGACTAACCCTAAGGATAGACAGATTCGTCGAGAAAGCCTTGTTTACCTAATTTTCTATGAGTGAAAATGTAAAGAGAAGAGAAAGGCCAGGCTATATAGTATATGAAACCCTTGTGATATGAGGACAAAATAGCATTAAAAGAGGTGAAATAACTGAACTATAAGTTAGGCCCAACGAACAACTATTTTACTGGATTCAGCTGTCATTCTTAATATTGCAGATCGATGCATGTTTATATAAGTTGGATAGAATAATATTGATACTGATCGAATCTCGTGATCATTTATATTTTTCAGTGACCATTAATATTCCACTTGTTTGGCTGTGTAGTTCAGAATCAGGCTGTGTAGTTCAGAATCAGTTATGAATTACTACTTAGATATCTCAACTCTTTCAACGGGACTTTTTGTCCATATGGATTGTAAATCCAAGTCCGTGTGCTTAAAAAAACGGGTCGATCGTTTGAAACCCTTCTAAAATATACAAAATCAAAGGGGTTTCGTTTCGTTTTTTCTTTGATTTTGTACCCAATGGTTTAGATTGTGAAGAAAAACAAATGCTCTAAAATTCTTAGGTATTATTATTTTATTTTTTTTGGGGTCGAATCTTAGATATTATCTTTACTGTGGTTTAATTTGTGATTTTTGGTTAAAAGAAATCTAGTTTTCTAGGAGTACTGAATATTTCGCACAGAAAAAATGTATATAATATTCATAATTCTTATAACCTTCTACTTTTGATAAGGGTTTCAGTTTCAGGATCTTTTTGATATAAATAAAACAAATTTTTTTGTTTGTTGAGATTAACATTTATGGTCTGTTTTGAAATATTGCTTCGTTTCATAAGGTTATAAATTCCCTTTGAAGGCTTGAAGCTTGTAGATTTGTAATATTAATATTACATCATCCTTTCTCGAGAGATATTAATTTACGGATTTCATTTTTTAATCACCATATATATGTGTATATATATATATATGTATCACTCCTTTTGTCTTCCAACCTGTCAATTCAATGCACATTTACATGCTCTATTAACTTTGGGCTTTGGGTGCAGCCACATGCTCTGCATGCTCCCATTTATTGCACTTGTATTCTATATATCTATATATCTTATAAGTACTATCAACATTTACATTTCTGTTTTTGACATCTATATTTTGAGTCCGAAATTTATTATTGTGGATTGTAAAAACGTTCGTTTATAGGAGACTGGTTATAAAGACTTTAATGTCAAGTCGTATCTTCGTACAAGTATAATAGTGACGCAACATACGTTCGTATATGGCAATTATATATCAATATGAAGAAACGAAATGCGAGTTATCTCTGGTGGTAAAACTAAGAGCGCCATTTTTTTCTACACAAAAAACAAACGAGCAACTTGAATTATAATTTTTTTTTTTGAGAAAATTGATTTAATATCTCTTAACTCTAGATTTTGACTCTAGAAAACTAATACGAAATATACAAGTACACAACTTATCTCCACGACTATATCTGTCACTTTATAATTTTACTGTATACATATAACATATAGAGTAGTTGAAACTTCAATTGAAAGTCACATTAGACGTGGAGGGATCTGCATCCAACAAATAAGAGATGAGATGGTCCAACATTCATTTACAACTTCTCTCCATCTGTCCCCTAATTTTTAACCCTTCATTGTCCTATATAAACCTCCTAATGTGTTATGCACTCTTCACTACTCTCCCCACTTAACAAACACACACGATAGAATAAAGTTATAAAAGATGGCAATTAGGTGTTTAGCCTTGTTCCTCGTTGCTCTCACGGTGGCTCAATCTGTCACTGCGACAAGACCGGCCCCGGCCAAGAATGTTGGAGCTGGTCTTGACGACCAAAAGAACTTTGTTGCGTTTGGTGGCGTCGGTGGAGCTGCTGGAGTTGGTGGTATTGGAACAGGTCTTGGTGGTGTAGCCGGTGGAGTTGGTGGTGTCGCCGGAGTTTTGCCTGTAGGTGGAGTAGGCGGAGTAGGAGGAGGAATCGGTGGTCTAGGCGGTGGTTCAGGTCTTGGTGGTGGTTCAGGTCTTGGTGGTGGAATAGGTGGTCTAGGCGGTGGCTCAGGTCTTGGTGGTGGTGTAGGTGGACTTGGCGGTGCAGGCGGTGTAGGTGGAGTTGGCGGTTTGGGTGGAATTGGCGGTGGAAGCGATTGTGGTGGCGTTCTTCCTCACCCTTAATGATAAAACGTTTTTTTTTTCATAATTATTAATATTTGTATCAGGTTTATCATGTTTTAAGTTTTTTTTTTTTCCGATGTTTATGTTTAAGTCCTTGTTTGTTTTCTACTCCATATATGCTTTTGTTTTTGTTTTCATGCTGTTTGTTATTAATTACTTGTGAGAAACCTTGTGCTATCAATAAATAGAGTATATTTTTCGTCTTGCAAAACAGTGTACTTACTTGTGTTCCAAGATATTAGTTTAGTTGCAATTTGCATACAGGTACATATCAAACGTAATCTCGTTTGCAAGGGTTGACAAAAAAAAAGTACAATTCGATCTATTGTAATAAGAAGAAAAATATTAGTTTTTAGGTTAAACAAATATCATTATGAACGAGATTTCGATTACAAAACTAAGCATATACGTCTCAGTGTTACATTTAAGCAGTTTATTACCTGTAGCCAACAATCTACATGCCTTTAACCAAAAAACAATAAAATAGTCGACAGATAATTAGAGAAACCCGAATATCATCGGTGTCGAGTATCGTATTATGTATGTGATGAATGGCGTATAATGCATTTCTTTAACTGTTTTGTAACAGGGTTATACGGTGGGAGCTCAAACAATTCATGGCCCATGAATCATGTGTTTAATTATTATAAATATTACAATTATTACCATTGGATTTATTTCCAACAAGGGATACAACTTATAACCACCAAGCACCAATTGGTAAATATGTATACCAAAAGAGAACCCTCTTTTAAAGCTGAAGTTAGTTCAAATCGAACGAAATAAATTTTCTAACATGTAGCTGAAGTTAATAGCTTAACAATTTAAAAGTTAAATAAAAGAAAACGATTATAAGTAACTTTCGACCAAAACAAACCTCCATGTGTTTTTTTCTTAAATTTTCATGTTTCTCTCCACGAAAGGATACCACAATTACAATTACCTACGTTTTTCATAAACTTTGACCACACTTCTTTGTAAAACAGGAGAGTATTCTACCTTTTGTTTCTTCTCTTCGGGCCTAATGCACCAATAGGTTAATGTTTTTTTGGGTTAAAATGCACCAAGGTTTTTATTACTTTATATCTTTGACAAAAAAATACATTAAAACCATATTTTCATCATGTAAATTCTAGAATAAAATTTAATTAAATGTTCGATCTCAACCGACGAAAAGTCATTTAATTATCAAAATACACACACTACCGAATTAAATGGATGGCTGTACAACAGCATCTACAAAACGATATCATTAGATTGGAATTATTTATTTCTTGGAAAAAAATCATCTTTCAGTCCGTGTTATTTGTAATGCATGAATCATCTTTTATCATCATTTTACGAAAGAAAACCGGGAAAAGATTTTAGGGTGTTTGACCGCTTTAAAAAAGAATAAAAGCTAGTTGAAAGCCTTAAAATAGTAGTTAAGAATCTCTAAAATCTTTATTTTGCCGTCTTAATATATCGTTAAAAAAATTAACAACATTGATTGACCGCTTAACACAGCCTTGGCGGAACGTTAGTTACCGCGTCACCACCAGTCACTTTCGTTCTGAACGTAAATAAACTTAAATTTGATATCAGAGCGTTTGGTTAAAGCATTTACATTGGCAATAACTATCTACACCGGTCATTTTTTTGAACGTGGTCTCTCGTCCTTTAAAAGGACACAACACAACCTATGAGGCAACAAACATAATTAACTCAAAATTTATCTTCTTACCTTCTCTTCTTTTAACCAAAATTACCGTTCTTGACCCCTTGAGTAAGGTTATGGCGAAGTCGTTTTTCACTCTCTTCTTGGTTCTTGCCCTAGCCTCAGCTATTGCCTGTGGTGCAAGAAACGTCCCAGGGGGACTCTCTGACCAGAAGAACTACCTCGGATACGGTGGGGGATACTCCGGCATCGGAGACAATGGTTTACCTTTTGGTGGCGTCGGTGGAGGTGTGTCTGGTCCTGGTGGTAATCTCGGTTTCGGTGGACTTGGCGGTGCTGCTGGTGGAGGATTAGGCGGTGCCTTGGGCGGTGGCTTAGGAAATGGGTTAGGCGGTGGAGTTGGTGCCGGAGCTGGTGGAGGAAGTACCGGAGGAGCTCATTTCCCTTGAGTTGTTACTTTGTGTTTAAGGTTTCGTACGGTCCTTGAGCTAGGTCTAGCTTAAGATAATGTCAGGGTAATAATAACATTCATGTCTTTTTTTCGGTTTTGGAGTTTGGAAATTTCATTAGCTGTTAAACGTGTGTCTTAAGTTACTATGGTGTTCTTAGATTTGGCCTCGTGTCCTTGTCGTGTCATGGCTTGGTCCATTTTCAAATTCTATTTTGACCATTTTCGAGTGTGTCACTTAATGAATTAATGTCAACATTTATGATTACTTTTCATTAAATACTTTATAGTATAATCTCTATCAATAAATATGTATGGAACGTACCTCGAGTTAGTTGAAGTTCGACTAAATAAATGAGAGAAACCAAAAAATAGACATTGTATTTAAGGAGATGAGGGTTTTAGTTTTATATGACATTGAATAGATCGATGTAACAAGTATTTATATAGGCAAGTAAAAAAAATTTATCCGAAATTTTTTTGTATAACAAGTAACCATAGAGTAAAGGTAAAGAAATAAGAATACGACATACTTATCAAACAACACCTACGTAAATAGATCTACGAAGTTTTACTTGAAATTATTGCAATAAATTTTCGTAAATATGAACAAGTGTTGGGGTAGTTTAGGTGATAACATATTAAAGTCGAAATAAGTGAGTTCCAAGGTAGAAGGGAACCTGACAGAAAAACAAACAGTCAAACTTATTATTGAATTGACATTGCAATTGAAAATACTGTTTGCGAGGTTGGTTTTGTGCATTTACTCCTCCTTCTCTCTCTTTTTTTACTTGCCTATATGTGTGGGGTAGGATATTAGACCATGATTATTGCAAAACTAAATAAAAAGGCTTAAAAGGAGAGGGATCGATTCCTATTTGTGCATCGATTCTACTTACTAGGTGGCACCATAGCATTCATTATCTTTATTTTAATTAAAAAATTATCAATTATTAATTTTTTTTTTAAAACCCAAAAGATAGTTAGCAATAATCATATAATAATCATGGTTTTTTACAAAGGTTATTTAACCCAAAATAAATCTTAAAATAATGCTAAGAAATCCAATACGGTAGTTAGCAATAATCACGCTCTTACATACTTTGCGCCAGGTGAAATTTAACTCATGATATATCAGGAGTATTTTTTATTTTTTTGTTCAAAACTCATCGAGAATTCATTTTATAATACTCTCAGAAATGTGATTTATAAATTGGAATAACATTTTATATCAGTCTTCGAACTTTGTACCGTTTTTCAATCCGAGACTATTCCAGCCGATTCTATCAAATACTTATTTTTGAAAATATTCCTTTTTAAGAAGTAACCGTTTTTTCACGAGTCATAAAGTCAGTTGAATTGGGAGTATGAAACCGGTCTGGTCATGTTAATCGAAGTAGTTTGTATTAAACAGATAATGCAGTGTTAGTCACAAAACCAAAGATGAGGATGAGGCAAGTGAACACGGGAAAAGAGTACATGTTCCATTTTTTGGGTCAAATACGTGTTTCATTTTACTTGGGTCAAAGCGAAGACAACATGGTCCTATCCATTTTTTTGGAACAATAGCAAATATTTCCTTCGATTTGTCTCTTGATCTCAATTGCTTATGGACCGTACGAGATAATGATCTACATGGGATGTTCACCATGATATAATGAATGTTTGGATTCGAGAGATCCTTTAGACTTAGTACGAGTTTAACCCAAATTAAAGAAAATCTAACCATGTAGAAGATTCATTATAATATGAAAGAAGGTTTGGTATTCTTTAATTTGGCCAGGTTAGGCAAACCCTCAAATGTTGTTATTAATTATAATAACGTAACGTAAAAGACATGGATAATACTTTATGATATAAATAGATAACCAAAAGTTTCCAAAATAAAAGTGTAATATATTATATAATGAGAGAGTTTTCTCTCCATCTAGACTATCCATCAGCAAACTCATAAAGCTTAACATTTAAGTATATTTAAAGTATGCATTTAATAAATATATTAATGTTTGTTAATATATTTAGTATAAATTAAATTAAATTAAAAAAATTATAGTATAAATAAAAAATCAGTGATAATTAGATATTAATAACTAAAAACATTGTAATACTAACTGGATTAAATATATATCTATTCTTAAAAATGATAAATTATTAAATTGAAAAAATGTTTTAAAATGATGATAATTAAAAAAAAGCAAAATCTATTATATAATGAGAGAGTTTTCTCTCCATCTAGACTATCCACATCAGCAAACTCATAAAGCTTAACATTTAAGTATATTTAAAGTATGTATTTAATAAATATATTAATGTTTGTTATTAATATATTTAGTATAAATTAAATTAAATTAAAAAAATTATAGTATAAATAAAAAATAAGTGATAATTAGATATTAATAACTAAAAACATTGTAATACTAACTGGATTAAATATATATCTATTCTTAAAAATGATAAATTATTAAATTGAAAAAAATGTTTTAAAATGATGATAATTAAAAAAAAGCAAAAATAATAAGAAAAATAATAAGAAAAATAGAAGGAAGAAGAAAAATCAAAATACAAAAATAGAAGATATTAAAAAGATGAAAAAGAATAGAAATTAAAGACCATGAAGAGGAATATGGATAATAAAAAAAAAAAGAACACAAAGCTGATGAAAATTTTTTTTGAAAAATATGAAAACAAAGAAAGAGAACAGAAGATAAAGATATCAAAATATGAAAATATGAAAATGGAGAAGAAGAAAAAAATTAACAAAAATGGATAAATATGATGTTTAAATTTCAAAAAAAGGTAAGAATAAATGATTAAAAATTATTACTGCGCAACGTGTAGAGCATTAACAAAAAAAAATAATTTTAATACTGTAATAAAAATCACACAATAGTGACAGACAAAATATAAAAGTACATGAAATAAAAAAAATTAACAGAAATTAATAACATAATTAAGAAAATTTGTTATTATATACAAACATTAATAATGATTGTACAATGCAAATATAGAAAAAAACTATTAAACTATAAAAAATTTATCCAACAGATTATTTTAAAAAAAAAACATATAAAAATATAAAACACATAAAAATATAAAATAAAATCCGCGCGAAGCGCGGACTCAACCCTATGAGAGTTTTCTCTCTATCTAGGGTGTCCACATCAGCACCAAAAATGAAAACTAAATTTAATATCTCAATTAATTCACACACATTAATAATTATTATTTTTCACTAAAAAATACTATTACTATTACTAAAATTAATAATTTAATTATGTATATACTATTTATAATTCTTATATTTTAATTAAGAAAAATAATAGTAAAAAATGAAAAAAAAATAAGGAAAAAAAGGATGATAAAAGAAAGTCCAAAGACGATGAAACAAATAAAAAAAAAAGGAGAAAGAAGGAAAAGTAAAATATAATTAAGACGACACAGAGGAATCCGAAGTAAAAAAAAAGAATACATATTCCAAACAAATAAAAATAAGAGACGCAAAATAAGAAAAAATGAATTTTTTTTAAAAAAAATTAGAAGTCGAAGATGATGAAAAAAAAAAGATAAAAGATAGAAAGAAGAAAACACAAAAATGATGAAAAGCAATTTTGAAAAATACATAAATAAAAACGTTGAAGATTAGAAAAGAGACGATAATATGAAGATAGAAAAAATTAAAATTCATGATTCAATTAATTCCCACATTTTAAAATAGTATTATTTTTTAAAATATAAAAATTAGTACTAAAATTAATGACTTAATTAATTCAGACATTTTTATAATAATTATTTTGTATCAAGAAAAAAAAAGTAAAAATTGGAAAAAAAATAATAAGTAGAAATAGTTAAAGAAAAAGACGATGATGAAAACAAATATCAAAGAAGATAAAAAAAATTTAAAAAAATAATAGCAAGAAGAAATAATCAAAATATAAAAAAAATTACGCAGATGAAGACAAAATAGACGAGGAATAATACATATACGAGATAAGTAAAAATAAAAGATAAACTAAAATCAGAAAAAGAAGATGAAGAAATACTGAAAGGAAAAAAAAAAAAATAGAAGTCGAAGAAGATGAAAAAAAAAAGGTAAAAAAAATGAGGAAGAAGAACACAAAGCTGATAAAGAGGACTTTTAAAAAAAAAAGAACAAAAATGTTAAAAATGAGAAAGAAGAACAAAAATGAAACTAACAAACTATAATAATATAAAAATGAATAAGGAGTCTAATAAAAAATGAAAAGACAAATATGATGAATTAACTGTTTAAAAAATAAAATTTTGCGCAACACGTATATCATAAATAAATCTAGAAGTTAATATATATATATATATATATATACATAGAAATATTAATAGAAGATAATAAAAACAATAATTAAGAGAAATTTGTTGTTATATAGAAACACTGAGAATGATAACTAACCGAACATATTGTGTTTTTTTATAAAATAATATATAAAACATATAAAAACACAAACATAAAATAAAATCCGCGCGGATTCAATCCTAGTATATACAGTTTAGAAACAAAAAAAAGTGTAATATATTGTTAGCCAGAAGTAATTTCATCCGTTCATGGTTGAGGTTTGTAAGTAATTTTCTTTTTAATCAGAAGTAATCTGTATTTATATGGGTTCGGTAAATTAGTCTAAATTTTGGTTTAAGATATGTTTGGTTTATTAAACAAAAATAAAAAATAGTTTCATGAAACACTATTTTTATTAGAGATAAATACCAGACAATGCTGATCATATCTTAACAAAAGTTACCTTAACATTTTTTTGACAGAAATATTCGAGTGTATAGATTTAAAATTCTAGATTAGCTTTTTTTATTCAATTGTAAATTTGAAATTACTTTGGATTGTAAACTTAATAAAAGAAATATTAGTCGACTATGTTTGTGTATCCAGCATAAATAATAAATTGATAACTAAAAAATTATATTATAACGTTCAAATTTTGTTCTTAATATATTAACTTGATCAGTATATGAGTCAAACCTTTCATCTTCAATTCTAATCAATGCACGATCACGTAAATAATTTAGAGCATGACTCATCATTAATGCAATGCAGTAACTTTAGAATTTAATTAATCGTGTACCGTTTCGCTATTCCATTATAAAAAGAAAGCAACAAGAACAAAAACTATTCACAAATGTTTACTATTATTATTTGAGACAAAAGTATGAACAACATCACACCATTTCTCTTGGCTATTTACATTTTTTCAGTCTTAACATGTCAAGATCGTATCTTAGCCGGCCGCTACAACGAGAGACGTCATAGTCCCGAAGATTTCCGAGTGGCAAGTCCAGGTGATCAATGGTTTAACCACTGGTGAAACTCTTTTCATCCATTGTAATTCTAAAGACAACGATTTAGGAGAACATAATCTGAATTTTGGAGAAATATTTTCTTGGAATTTTGGAGAAAATATGCTTCACTCAACTTTTTTTTGGTGTTATATGAGCAAAGATGATGGTCATATGAATGTACAAGTGTTTTGGGATGATGTAATCTTGTTCCATAGATGCGGTTGGAAAAACTGCGTTTGGACCACTAAAACAGATGGTGTTTATCTTTGGAATTCTGCGATCGGCGAAGATGTGTTGTCAGAAAAATGGGAAGTAGGATGTTGAAGACGTTTTTTTAGTAATTTTTTTATTAGATGAATATTATTGATTTACGCAAAAAAAAACAATTTAATAATAAAGTTTTGTTTCTTTGTAACAATAATAATAAGTTTTTGTTGTCAAATTTTTTGGCTACTATCCATCATTGATATAGTTTTGTTTTGTTGTTAAAGAAAAAATAATTGTTAATATACAACCCAATGTGTAGAGAGACTACACAAAATTACAAATTATCGCAAACTCATTAAGATTACTAAATTTTATATCTATTATTCAAAAATATAGCGATTTATTTTTTTGGGAATAATCATTGGTTCAACATTTCGGAATGAGATTAGTAAGCCATTCTTGATTAGTTGTTCTAAATTCGAAACTCGTATATTAGCCATTTTCATGAGTTTTATTACTATATTAAACTAATCATTTTCTTAGAAAATTTGAAAATTCTTTGATTTTCTATTATTATTATTTCTATTATTATCTCTGTTTTTCACTCCACTCAAAACTTATAAAACAATCAACTGAACCCAAAGCCTTTTGTTTTACCTGATTTTATTTAAAAAATGACAAAAAATATCTTTTAAAAGTAATACAAAACCAATTTGTAGATTTGTTGCTTTACTACAAAATATGTGATTTCCATTGATTATATAAACTCAATAATCGGTACTTTGAATTTATTTGTTTTTTATAAATAGAAGTTTGTGCTGACGAACAAGATAGCAGTCATAAACTCGATCGATTCAGTTTATATTAATGAGATACATAATATATAGTCATATAAATTATGGTTTTGAGAAAAACTATAAACTGAATGCATTTACATCAAAGAATTTGTTTTAGTTTTGTTGACATTTGCATAAATAATTTTATCTTGGAAAAAATATCTTTATTTCAAACATATTTTGGTAATATTTTATTTAATAAATATTAATATTATGGTACTCATGTGCAATATCTTAAAAAACTTATATAAGATTATCCAAAACAAACACACAACAAATAGGTGGCATCCGGAGACGGTTTGACGCATTTTCCACCTATAAATGGTACTTCAATGCAATGTTGATTGCAGTCTGGAAACTTCTCGCATGGACCCTGCACAATGAGTCTACTTCTGTCGTGATCCGCTTTTGTAGATTCTGAAATTTATTTTGTTTTCGAAAAATTAGTATTAGATTCAAAAACATAAATATTATTTGATATATATGGATCTTTTTCCATTGTTACGATGCCATATCTAATATGTTTTCAAAACCTTAAACTTTAAATTGCTGGATTCTACTGTTTTAATTGTATTATAATAAATTATAAAACAACCAGATTTATTACAAGAAATCCACAAACTAGAAAAAGAACACTGGCTTCATCACCTAACAAAATCTAGACTATCTATCTAAGAATTTGTCTGTTGTAGAAAAAAAAGCTCACCGTAAACAAAAAAAAAAGACACAATCAACTAGTAAAACAACATAAAAACAAGCTGAAAAATTATAGCTCCTGCACTACGGAGGTGTTGACCAAAAAAAATTCTTCCAACTTTTTAAGTGGCCCATGTATAAATGGACATTATAATAATAATTAAAAAGAAAATATAATCAACACAAAAGCATAATATATAATCCTTTTGGCATACCTAGGGTAAGTAGAACAACCAGACATAAGAACACAAGGAAGAAGCATTTGCTCGATGAAGCCATTTTGTATTTAGTTTTATAATATATGCCGATGAAATTGAATAGTTCTCAAAAGCCTTCCCAATACATATATATATATATATATTATATGATGGATTCCTGTAAATATTTTTCTATATAAAACTGGATTCACTAAAATTTATATTCTCTAGAATTAAAGATATGTTACTTTATAAAATTGGATTCACTAATATTTATAGTCTCTACAATTAAAGATATGTTACTTTATAAAGTTGGATTCACTAATATTTATAATCTCTACAATTAAAAATATTTATTCAATAAAATTGGATTCAATCTAAAGTAGATATGTTACTCTAACAGATTCTCGTTTTTACTATATGCATATTTGTTGAATTACAGGATGGATGTAATGCTGATTTGTTTCTAAAACCAAATATCGTTAATTTGAGTGGAAAAAAATCAAGGATGAAGTTTACAATCGTACATTTGAATAGTATTTGGAACATAACCATATTATATGCTTTGATTTCGAATTTGGGGTTGTCCAAACATCGACTCAGGACTTTATAACTATAAAAAAAAAATTCAAAATTTTATTCCAAATTACAATTATCAAATGAGTGTTGTCTTCCCTTCTAAAGTACAATTAATCATTGCAAATGTTAGGGTTAATAACAGGAGTTGTGGTTAAAATTTTATTAATCGTTAGAATCAAGATTTTAAGGTATAGGATTATGTGATCATGCATATCATTGAAGTCTATTTATATAGTTTTCAAAATTAGGTATAGCATTCTACTTTTTATAGCATAGATTTATGGTCATTTATAAACTAATGCTCCTTCATTTTTTTATATATTCCATATAATAAGCATGCTGTAGATATATCAAAGTAGCTCTCTGAAAAGTTAGTTTTTTTTTTCACGAGTATTAGATCTTCTGGTCTGGTGGTTATAATAACCAAACTGTTTTAATGTTCTTCACAAAAAATTAAACGATGAGGACGACTAGACGAGGCTAGTGAACATATGAGAGAAGAGTACACGTTTTTGACGACTCAATAAACGAAGGAAATATTGTCCCATTTCATTTGGGGTAAAACGAACAACACAACACGGCTCGCTCCATTTTGGAACATCAATAAAGAGTTTCTTATATATCTTGTCTTGATCTCAATTGTTTGTGGACTGTACAAGAAATTGTTTTGTCTGGTTTGTCTCTTTTACTCTTTATAACCCGTGTCATAGGGGTTTTAGACTGATCTAAAAATGAGATTCACCGTGATCTAATTCATTGTTGGAATCGAAAAATCCTTTACAGTTGTTCGACAACAACCAGAATTATGAAAAAATAATCATGTTTTGTTCGGCTAGATCCTTTGAATTTTATACAAGTAAAAATCTAATTAGAATATATTTTATTTTGCTACAAGAAAATTTGTTATCTATGGTAAACACCCATTTGCATCTAACCAGATTGTAGGAAAGGTATTGTGGTACGAGGTTCCAAATCTGATACCACAGCAAGACATTGAATTCTTCACTCATAGTATATCTCCATCAGAAAACTTTAAGTGCATGGTTTGTTGTGTTATTGACAATTGATTATTATAGTTATAATTATAAAGTGATCATATATATATATAATATATCACGTCAAATATATTTGTTTTAACACGTCAAAAATAATATATATGTGTTACCATAACGATATATGCCGGTATATAATAATACGTGTATGTAAGTTCTGCATTTGATATTAAACTATAAATCGGACTGCATTTGCATCAAATATATTTTTTTTGTTGAAGGATCTGCATTATATTTTTGGAACCTTTTTTATTTGAAATATTAGAACACTACTGCAATATCTTGAACAAATTATATATAATATTTTGGATAACAAACACATACAAAATCAAGGGCAGGTGGAGCCAGTTGGATGCATTTTCCACTAGCATAATGTGATTCAATGCAAGTCTGATTGCACTTTGGAAATTGTGTGCATGTACCTATCAGAATGGGTTTCCCTTCAGCTTTTGTAGCTTCTGAAATTTATATTGTTCTAAAAGAGATTAGTGTCGTATTCAAAGCATAAAGAGTCCTTAGACATGAATCTCTTCTCTTCCATTACTGTATTGTAGCAATAAAAACGTATATAGTATGTTTAAGGGAGATACTACAATATCAAATAGAAAATACAAACTCGTAATTTAATTTTGCATACCTGAGATGAAGAAAACAGCGAGACATAAGAACACAAGAAAAAGACATTTTCTCGATACAGCCATTTAGACCCTTTTATTTTTATTTGTTCTGTGTGTTGTGTGTGCGTGTTTTCCTTTTCTTTTTAGCTAACAAAATTATATAGTTCAAAACCTTTGATATATATATATATATATATATATAGAATGTTTGAATTCACAATTTTATTTATATGATATATATACACGGTAAGGTATGTTTTTGACTGAGACTATTAGCATTGAATACTTGTTACATTACATACCTTTGGTTTTAGGATTTTAATTTGACTTTTGTTGTCCTTTCTAGGAAACTAATTTATATATGAAGAGACCAAACCCGAATGTAGCACATAGATTATGGTAATACCTCATATGAATGTAAACGTGCCTTGGGGTGGGTGATGTAATCTTGTACCATAGGTGCTGTTAGAAAAACTGTGTTTGGACCCCTAAAACTGATTGCGTTATGCGACAAGTGAAAATGTGTTGTCCGAAAAATAGAAAGTTAGATACTGAATACTTATATTTGGTAATTGTTTTCTTATTTATGAATCTCATCGATTTAGGCAGAAAAAAAAAACAAAGTTATTCATGCAAAATTTTTTTTCGAGAATTGATATCCTATAGAAAAGATTGAAACGATTGTCGCATCAAAACGGTGAAAAGTGCAACAAGATACGATGGAAGGTTGTTAGACTATGTTCAATGGAGGTGCTTATGAAGAGTGCTTAAGCAATTTTTTTTTTTTTTAAAACCTAAACAATACATAAATATAAATGTCGACGCTTAAACAAGCGTGAAAAACACCAATACTCATCTCTTAACTTCAAATTAATAATTAAATAATATTTAAACACCTTTTTAGAGTTGCTACCATTAAAATACTCTTAGAGTTATTCCTGCGCTCGTCGCAACAACCAACATGTCAAAATGAGATTAGTATATTAGTAAACCATATTTTATTAGTTGTTATTTAAATACCAAAGTCATAGATAAACTTGAGTATTAATTCTATATAATTGGTTCATTAATGTTTATGCTTTCTAAGACGTTCAAAAACTTTTAGAACGACCAATTAAAACCAAATATCTGTTTTCCTAGCTACTGCAAAACAAATGGAAATTCGTAAAAATTAGTATATGCAAAGCGTTTTGTTACTTTTGTATATGGACTTAGTTTATAAATTGAATTGCCTTATAAATTGAATTACTCATAAATTAAGTATTATTAAATTGCCATATAACATAGTCAAAGTATTTAATATATGGAATATAGCCGTTCGAATTTTGTGTATATATATACCCATATGGGTACGGTAACACGTATTTATTTCCGTACTGGTTACAAAAAATTATTACATCTCAGATAAAAATGGGAAAATATTTACTGAGTGTTTTTCTAATTATCATCCTTTCCTTTGATTCTATAAACTCTCGTTTGTTGCCTCCTCTCTTCAGAAAATTCAACGTGGAAATTGTAAACCAGCTTAGGTTTCACAAAAAAATGGAGGTTCACTGCAAGAGCAAAACTCATGATTTTCCAATTACGTATCTTAATATCGGCGAAAGTTTTCAATTTAAATTTACTATCAATCCAAAGACTCAATATTGGTGCAATTTATGGCAGGTTAGAAATACATTTTAAGTTTCCAGATATATTTTCTATTCATAAATAGTACCAAGTATATGTATTACGGATGACTGATGATCGTTTCTTTGTTTTCTTATTGAATAACTTAATCGTATGAAGCTAAATTTTATATGATTGTTAGATTTGATTCAGAAATTTGTTTGAGGTTGATTTTGAGGTTTTAGCAAAGAACACAGACAAATGTATGATATGTAAAATTATGAGACATTTTTATTTGACTTTTTTTTAATGGGATTTTACAACTTGACTGGATTTTTTCGACTAAATTTAGTTTCGGTTTAATTTATTGCATTTCTTGTTATATAATCTGCTCGGTTTATAGAATCTTTTGGTTCATTCATATATTTTGATTCAGTTTAATTCAAATGTTCACTCTAATATTTATTCGATCAAATTTGTATCTTACCTTCAGGGACCAAATTACAAACACCATGTAGTATTTGATGCGTTTCTTCCGGATAAAGATTTTATAGATGGCACATGTACTGGAATGGATCCTAATGTATGTAGGTGGATCGCAAAAGAAGAGGGAGTTTATGTTCTCAACAAAAAATTTAAAGGAGAATATTTTATGTATACATGGGATGCTCCAACAAAATATGGAGAAATCTCTCCAGTGAACGGACCCTCAAGTGAATCTGAATTTGATTTATAAAAAAATTAATAAAGCCTATAACTAATTAAAATCAGATATATACATATATGATCTTGGTAATGTGTAGAAGAGAAAAATAATAAAGATTATAATTTGCTGGTTCCAATTTACTTAAATTTCATATCCACATTTTGGTTTCAGCCCATCGATTAGGACCGTGTTTTCTAAGAACGTAGCCGAATCAGGCCCAATAGTTATATTTATCAGTTATGAACTTGCCTTCTATTTGGGTCCAAATTGGCCCACATTCTGATATACCAAAAAATGTAAAAGCTAATTAAAAAGATTTCTTCCTCCCAAAGCCAAAAATCTCAAGTACATAGAGAAACAAACAAAGCTCTCTCGGAAGAAATCGAGAGAAGAAATCATGGGTCAAGGACCGTCCGGAGGTTTGAATCGGCAAGGAGATCGGAAGCCTGATGGTGGCGACAAGAAAGAGAAGAAGTTCGAGCCGGCGGCACCACCGGCTCGTGTAGGGAGGAAGCAGCGTAAGCAGAAAGGGCCTGAGGCGGCGGCGCGACTCCCGACGGTGACTCCGTCTACTAAGTGCAAACTCCGGCTGCTGAAATTGGAGCGGATCAAGGATTACTTGCTGATGGAGGAAGAGTTTGTGGCGAACCAGGAGCGGCTGAAACCTCAGGAGGAGAAGGCCGAAGAAGACAGATCTAAGGTTGATGATCTTCGTGGTACACCGATGAGTGTTGGAAATCTGGAAGAGTTGATTGATGAGAATCACGCAATCGTTTCTTCTTCTGTTGGGCCTGAGTACTATGTTGGGATACTGTCATTCGTTGATAAAGATCAACTTGAACCTGGTTGCTCGATTCTGATGCACAATAAGGTATGTGAATTTAGGTTATTTTTTACTAGGTTAAGGTCCTATTTGCTTGGTTGATGGTTCGGAAACTTGAATGTTGCTGTTTTTGCGGTTTAGAATTCCTCTTCTTGTTCTTGGGTACTAATTTCGTCTTTGTTTCTGAGTTGGGAATTTTTTTAGGAACTTGTGAAATGTTTTTGATTCGGACGTAAGAATAGTTCAAAGAGTGACTTGACGAACTATGTTGCCTCTTAATTAAACCAATTCTTCCGTGTGAAAGTAGTCCCAGTACTGAGATGTTCCTATTGGTTTTGTGCTAGGTTCTCTCTGTTGTTGGTATTCTCCAAGATGAAGTGGATCCGATGGTGTCTGTGATGAAAGTCGAGAAGGCTCCTTTGGAGTCGTATGCTGACATTGGAGGTTTAGAAGCTCAGATTCAGGAGATTAAGGAAGCAGTTGAGCTCCCTCTAACTCATCCTGAGCTGTATGAAGACATTGGTATCAAGCCGCCCAAGGGTGTGATTTTGTATGGTGAGCCAGGAACTGGGAAGACACTGCTTGCTAAGGTTTGTCTTTCTACCTTTAATCTAATGATTATTGGTGCCTATACGAAGTATAGCTTAGTTCACTATTTGCAGTCTCATTTACGTTCACTGGGTTGTTCAGTTGAATCTAGAGTAAGTGAGTAACAGAGGCCTTCCTTGTATCTAGCTGAAAAAACCTTGTGGAGGCGTTACTGTAAGCAGAAAGATTTTAAAGGCCAGACCATTGTTAAACTGGTTACCTGGATTTCAGAAATTAGATCAGCGAGAAGATTTTTCTCATGGACAAGAATCTTTTGAACTACTAATGTCTTCTTTTCCTTTTGTCTCCGCTACAAGCATGAGATTGTCGCATTTTGGTGGTTGATTTTATGTTTCATGCTTGTTATTACTTTACTTTTGAACACTGTCGGAGTGAGCTCTTCTATCTTTGTTTTCTTTCAGGCGGTGGCTAACTCTACATCAGCTACTTTCTTGAGGGTTGTTGGTAGTGAGCTGATTCAGAAGTATTTGGGAGATGGTCCTAAGCTTGTAAGGGAGCTTTTCAGAGTTGCTGATGACCTTTCACCATCAATCGTCTTCATAGACGAGATTGATGCTGTTGGTACTAAACGGTAGGTCAAAACTAAGAACACAAACCTGATCCATACCCCATTGATAAATGGCATCTGATTAGTCAGTTTTTTTTTGAACAAACAGGTACGACGCTCACTCAGGAGGTGAACGTGAGATCCAAAGAACTATGTTGGAACTTCTGAACCAGCTTGATGGATTTGATTCAAGAGGAGACGTTAAGGTCATCCTCGCGACAAACAGAATCGAGAGTCTTGACCCGGCACTTCTTCGACCTGGACGGATTGATAGGAAAATCGAGTTCCCTCTTCCAGATATAAAAACAAGAAGACGCATCTTCCAGGTAAACTAATTCTGCTGAGATAACTAATCAATGGCTTGTTCAACAGTTTCTTGTTCATCGAGTTTATGGGGGTTTTTTTTTGTTTTTTTATATAAAATAGATACACACATCGAAGATGACTCTCTCGGAAGATGTAAACCTGGAAGAGTTTGTGATGACAAAAGACGAGTTCTCAGGAGCTGATATAAAGGCTATATGCACTGAGGCTGGTTTGCTTGCTCTCAGGGAGCGTCGTATGAAGGTAAAGACTCTGAGCCATTCAGTTCGATCACACACACACACACCTCTTGGGAAATCACTAGCCACTGAATCTAATGTTTGGGTTTTTGTTTGATTATGTCCGTTTAGGTGACGCATCCAGATTTCAAGAAAGCCAAGGAAAAGGTTATGTTCAAGAAGAAAGAAGGCGTCCCTGAAGGCCTTTACATGTAAAATCATCATAATTTTCGCCATTACTGGCTTCCTCCACACTCGTAATACATTTGCTTTCTGGTTTCTTTTATAACAGTCAGTCAGTTATTAGACTCTTTTTTATCTTTGTGATAGAATCATCTTTTAAGTGATTGTTTTTGTGAAATCCTTGCGTTTGTAAAATCTCGATATGAACTCATCTTATCTGGAGAAGAATCGGATGAAACAAAAGGCATCTTCTTTTCAAGGATTTTTAACATTCGGATTTTGTTTTGAAAAGAAAGATTAAAAACATGAATTTCCAATAATTTTGTAAACTAAAAAAAGAAAAACTACAAAATCGTTATGCAATAAACAAATCGAAACTTACTTTAAATATTTCTATAGCAACCGAACTGGGCGCGCAAGTGACTCAGCTAAAGCAATGTTGAACGTGAGAAGAACAATTCTTAAAAAAAGGAAAACATTAAACAAAAAGGAAATACAGCAACATTGAACGTTAGAAATATTCTTAACATCTCCTACGTTTGGAACAATTCTTGTCACAATCTCAATCTCTCTTGGACTCACATCTCTGCGACAATGGAAACAGTACATGTCACTACACATGCAACGGCCCAAGATCCCTCGTCGCTAGGTTTCTTAAGCACGGTTTTTATTAGTATAAGTCGAGAAGTTGATCGGTGTACTTGCAGATGGTGATAATATCTCGAGTCTTGGATCTTACTAGAATTCTTCTTTTCGTCATCCACTAGTTTTGATCACACTCAAAGATTTCAGGCAATGAAAAACTCCACGATGATGTCTTGTCTTAATGCGTAACTGATCGGATTGTTGCTCAAAGCCAACGGATAGACAGACTTGCAACAAATACCCTTGCTCGTTACAGTATTCGTCAAGTCAAGTTGACTCATAAAGGGAACATCGTCTTGCCTACGGATTAGGACTCAGAAATATGTCCAATATGTTTGGTTAAGGTGGAATCGATATCAGAGAGTACTGGACCCAGAACCGAGCTTAGCAATATGGAGTTCCGAAGCGGTATAAAAATAAATAAACCACAATTCACAAAAAATTAAAAACATCATCGCTCAAATTTCATACAAAACTACTAATAACTATATCATTCAAAATAAATAAAAATGATAGTAAACGATAAAAAGTTTCATTTTAAAACACAAATTTTCTCTCATTTTTTTTGACAAATTCACTAACCAAACTTTCAAAACCAAATTTTTAAAACTAAAATTTTCAACCATATTTTTTAATGTCTTAGATAGTCAAATCACTCAATAACTCTTATTAGATGCTTGAATGAAGATAAGACTTTATCAATTTCAACCAAAACTCATTTAATCGTTTTCAAATTCACAAAATAACAGTACATATCTAAAATTTTAAATCATACTTCCTAAAACTTAATAAATTAGCCAATTATTTGAAATTTGTTTATAATTTACTCTAAATAATAAAAAATCTAATATTAGATGAAATAAATTGATAACTAATATAAATATTTAACAAAATTAGCAAATGCCAATTATAGTTGTTATGGCAAAAAGTGCAAATTTTTTAAAACTTCAGCGATGAAGAAAAATATAGTTGAAAAAAGGGAATTTAATAATTTTAAAGCATAATTTATTTAATTGATTGAATTGCAGCAGTAGAAGAAGCACTAGTACAAACATATTCATCGGTTTGCAAGAAAAAAAGCTTTTCCTGATGAATGATCTCCTTTATAGCAAAAAAAAAAAAAAAAAAAAAATAGTCGTCGTCTGGCCCCTCGACAGTCACTGGTACGCGTTTTGAATATTTCTGGGTCTAATTTTCGTAACTTTATGGGCCTTAGCATTAAGCCCATTTTAAACATAATCGACTCAGCTGATTGACGCCGAAGAGAGAGAGAGAAAAAGACAATAATCTGGTATGTATGTAATCTTTGAAGTCTCTTATCTCTCTATCCACGAAACAATAGAGGAAAAAAATAAAAACACAAAGAGCAGAGGAGACAGACAAAATGAGATAAGGATTTGAAGCCTCTCACCTCTTTCTTTCTTCGTTTCTCTCTGGGCTTATTTTTCATGCAAGAAAATTTTCACTGAACTTAGCGGTTTTCTCGCCTTAGTTTCTCTGGCAGAATTTTCGCAGAGCAAGGCGAACTAAAGGTAGCTCCTTTAATCAGTTTTACTCAAATGGGTTTCTTTCAATGTAATTCTGCAATCATTCTACGACTCTTCGCTTGTTATCGTGATAAAAATAGTCCCAAATTTACTGACTTTCTTTTCCTTCAGTTGTGGAGATTTGTTTAGTTAGACTGCAATGATATTTCGATTCGAATTGAGAAAAGAGTAGTATTTTCCTCAGTTGGTTTCTTTATTCATTATTTGTTCTTACAGTGTGTCATGCTCTATGTGTAGTAAAGTGACAGTTTTTAGGCACAGTGAAGATGGCTACGATTACTTCTTCTTCTATCAGCAAAGCCTGGCTCATTCCTGGAGCCGCTTTTACCGTAAAGAAGAACGATTGTTCCATCAAATGCTGCTTCTCGCGTAAAGCTTGCAAACAGATACCATCATCAACGCAGAGACTCGTCTTGCCTCTTTCGACTTCACTTGGATTGTTTCCTACTCATGGAAGGCAGTTTGTGTTGCATCCTCATCGTAGTAGAGCCACGGGGACTGATGTTGTGGCAGTAGAGGAACAAGATTCTCCTCCTGTTGCTGACGAGAATTCAAAAGGAGCAACCGATGCAAATGACAAGTCAGATGCTGCTCCTGCTACTACTACAACGTCTCAGTCAAGGGGAGCACCAAGACCAGGGAGGAAGAGCGAAATGCCGGCAGTTAAAAACGAGGAGCTTGTTGCTGGTGCTACTTTCACTGGGAAAGTACGAGCGATCCAGCCCTTTGGTGCTTTCGTCGATTTTGGTGCCTTCACAGATGGATTAGTCCATGTGTCTCAATTGAGTGACAACTTTGTTAAGGATGTTGCGAGTGTTGTCTCTGTTGGGCAAGAAGTGAAAGTAAGGCTAGTGGAAGCTGACATTGAGGGAAAACGTATTTCTCTTAGTATGCGTGAGAATGACGATCCTCCCAAACGCAATTCCGGTGGTGGTGATAAGCCGAGAGCCGGAGGGAAAAGGAATGCTTTAAAAGGAGGGCAGAAGAAAGAAGATGGGTTTAGCTCAAAGTTTGCGAAAGGGCAGATGTTGGATGGAACGGTGAAGAATCTAACGAGGTCAGGAGCGTTTATAACGATAGGAGAAGGTGAAGAAGGGTTTCTACCTACGAATGAGGAAGCAGATGATGGGATTGGAAGCATGATGATGGGTGGTGGCTCTTCGTTAACAGCTGGACAAGAGGTTAAGGTCCGTGTGTTGCGGATAGCAAGGGGACGTGTTACTTTAACGATGAAAGAGGAAGATGACGGTAAGTTTGATGAAACACTCACTCAAGGGGTTGTGCATACAGCCACGAATCCATTTATGCTTGCTTTCCGTAAGAACGAAGAGATTGCTGCGTTTCTTGACAAGAGGGAGGAAGAGGCAGAGAAGCAAACTGCTGAGAAACCAGTAGAAGCTGAAGCCTCTATCACCTCTGATAAAGTCGAGGAATCGTTATCTGAAACATCTGAAGAAACAGATAAAGAGGTTCTCTCATCAGAGACTCCCAAGGTAGAAGAAGAAGTAGTGACAGAGGCCAAAGCTGAAGTTGATTCACAGGAAAAAGAAGAGCCAACGGAAACACTAGCTGCAGCAGCTGAAGCTGAAGAGGTGGAAAAGATTCCAGAAGAAAATGCCAATGTGATGAGTTCTGAGACAGTAACCGATGTTCCTCCAATTCCAGATACCAAAAGTAGGCTGCGTTGCCTTCTTGTACATTGACTTGGTTCATTGTTTTAATGTGTAATAGCATTGACGCTTTTCTTCTACTGGTGACCAGGTGAAGAGGAAATCTCTGAGAACTCTATTCCTCCAAATTCAGTCACAGATGAAGTTTCATCTTCAGAAGCTTTACCCAGTGAAGAGGTTCAGAAGGAGGAAGTGGTGGCTGAAGTACCTGTTGCTGAAGCCGAGACTCCTACCTCTGTAGTCACAGGAGCTTCTTCTGAGGAAAGTGGCAACAGTGCTACTGCAGATGAAAGCATCAAAGGTCTCTATTTCACTTATCTTTTGCTTGTTTTACATTCAGCTTCATGGCCAGATGATTTAATTGGAAAGTTCAATCTATTGTACAAAAAATACAGGGGGCATTTCACCAGCTCTTGTGAAGCAGCTGAGAGAAGAAACAGGGGCGGGAATGATGGACTGCAAGAACGCTCTCTTGGAGAGCGAGGGTGATATGGTCAAAGCTCAGGAGTATCTCCGCAAGAAGGGGCTAGCGAGCGCAGATAAGAAAGCTAGCAGAGCCACAGCCGAGGGAAGAATCGGTTCATATATCCACGACAGCAGAATTGGTGTCCTCTTGGAGGTTAATTGTGAGACGGATTTTGTCTCACGTGGCGACATTTTCAAGGAACTTGTTGATGATCTGGCGATGCAGGTAACTCCAAGATTCTAGCTAAACCATTTTCTTCATTTTGGTGTAACTGAGAACATAAATTGACATGACATTGTAGGTGGCTGCGTGCCCTCAAGTAGAATATCTTGTCACAGAAGATGTTTCCGAAGAAATTGTGAAGAAGGAAAAAGAGATAGAGATGCAAAAGGAAGACCTTTTATCCAAGCCGGAGCAGATAAGGGAGAAGATAGTGGAAGGTCGGATAAAGAAGAGGCTAGATGCACTTGCATTGCTCGAGCAACCATACATTAAAGACGATAAGGTGATAGTGAAGGATCTTGTTAAGCAGAGGATTGCAACCATTGGAGAAAACATCAAAGTAAAGAGATTCATCAGGTACACTCTCGGAGAAGGCCTTGAGAAGAAAAGCCAGGACTTTGCTGCTGAGGTTGCTGCTCAAACTGCAGCTAAACCAAAAACTGAACAAGAGAAAGAACAGCCAAAAGCTGAAGAGCCCAAGGAAGCTGTTGCAAGGTGAGAATTTTTTTAATCTTTGCTCTTCTTGACAAAAGCTCTTAAAAGTTTTGGCTATAGAAAGGTTAAAACTTTTTGCAATACGGTACTGCAGTCCAGCAACTGCAGTGGTTTCAGCTGGTCTTGTTAAGCAGCTGCGCGAAGAAACAGGAGCCGGTATGATGGATTGCAAGAAGGCATTGGCGGAGACAGGAGGAGATCTTGAGAAAGCACAAGAATACCTCAGAAAGAAGGGTCTTTCAACGGCTGATAAAAAATCAAGCAGGCTTGCAGCAGAAGGGAGAATCGGCTCGTACATCCACGATGCTCGGATTGGAGTTCTGATAGAAGTGAACTGTGAGACTGATTTTGTTGGAAGAAGCGAAAAATTCAAGGAGTTGGTTGATGATCTTGCAATGCAAGCAGTGGCTAATCCACAGGTAAGAAAATTTCTCAGCTGAAACAACGGCTTAAACCGGTTGGTAGTATCTGACCTGAAATGTGTTCACGCAGGTGCAATATGTATCAATTGAGGATATTCCAGAGGAGATTAAGAAGAAAGAAAAAGAGATAGAGATGCAAAGAGAGGATCTTTTGTCGAAACCTGAAAACATTAAAGAGAAGATTGTTGAAGGAAGGATCTCAAAGAGGCTTGGAGAAATGGCATTGCTTGAGCAGCCTTACATTAAAGATGATAGTGTTCTGGTTAAGGATCTTGTGAAGCAAACGGTGGCTACTCTTGGTGAAAACATCAAAGTCAGGAGGTTTGTGAAGTTTACTCTTGGAGAAGACAACTGAGAGAGAGAAAATTCAATTTTTTTAAATAAGGGAGCTCTCTTTTGTCGTGAGTTTTAAAGCAAAGTCTTCCTTTTTTTTGTTTTGTAGACAAAATCTTCAGTATTTCACCTTTGATTAGTTTTTAATCAAAAAGCTGTAATTTTTTTGTTCATGAAATGATGAGATTGTGCATTTTTTGCGTCCTCTACAATTTACATTTTACAATATCGGATTATGAAACAATGGCAGCACTAGACGGTACGAAACGAATAAAATAATAATAATAATTAAACGAAATCAAGTAATTATCGGATTATGTTTTTATTTAGCTAAAAAAGTCGAAACAAAAAACGAATTAAGGGATCTCTAATGCATTAGACTACAGCTTAACTCGGAGCTAAGCATTTACTATTATTTGTGATAATTTAATTTCTATCTGGGCTAAAAGCTAGGCCCACCAATGTTTTTAGCCCAATAAATTAAAAGGATGGATAATAAAGTTTGTGATTTGTGAAGGAAAACGAAAAATCTGTGTCTTAGCGTCTCTGTTGATTGTCTGCGCAGGTTCGGGAATTTCTTTCTCAATGCATGTTCTTTGATTTAAGTCATTCTGATTTCTTTTTTTTAGTTTCTGTGCCTTTTCGAGATCCGATTCAATGTTCTTTACTAGTGAATTCTAGGTTTTATGATTTTGAGAGGTCTTCTTTAACAATTTGGAAATTTTCTTCGAATGTGTGGTCGAAATTCTATATTTCAAATTTCTTCTCGTTTGGATTCTGTTTTATTTGGCGGATTTTTTCTGGTTTCATTCATAAATTTGTGTTCACCATCCATTAAATTGGGTTTGAATGTCAGTGTATTGAGATTTGAGATCAACTTGTTTTAAAAATTGCTCTCTTTGCATTATCATGAAATTTGGAAACTTGAAATCCCAAACACTCTCGTCTTACACAGATCAAAGTTTTTTCCTTTCAAATAAAGCAATACGGATTTTGAAAAAGTAAAACATGTTTTGTGTCTGGGATCACTCCACTAGCTTTCTTCTTATCTCCAAGGAACTTGGTCATTTCAAGAAGCAAAAGTTTTCTACCACTTGATTAGAATTTAGTTTACTGAATGATTTGACATAGTGAACTGCATAGTGCTTACTAATTCAATTGATATTAAGTTTACTGAACGAAATTTGGTCTCTTTACAACACTAGAAAGGTCGGTTACTTAAGGAGTTGCAGAAACAAAATCTTGTTTTTCTTATTACTTTTACATGATATTCATAGTGATGACAGATCTTATGATACTTGATTGCTGAAGTCATTGTATGTACTGTGTTGTTTACAGATGAACTTTGGGTTGCCGAGTATTTCCTGGTTTAATAACAACAGCTCGAAGAAGGATGTAGCCATGGTAGAAACCGTGACATCGACAACTTCTCTCCTGGAGCAGCCAGATCGAGGGAAAGGCTTATTCGATATAAAGATATGGACTTGGTCACTTAGTTCTGTTGTTCCTTGGGCTGCAACTTCCGGTAATGGGAAGCAGAAACCCACTACTATAAATAGAGGGTTAAAAAGGCATGCCGCGTCTCGCAGGTCCTCAAGATCAGATAGTGTGACTACTGTTTATCGGTTTAGACCCTATGTCTCCAAGGTTCCGTGGCACACAGGACCGAGGGCGTTTCTTTCTCAGCTTTTCCCGCGGTACGGACATTATTGTGGACCCAACTGGTCTAGTGGGAAAGATGGTGGTTCACTGGTCTGGGATCAGAGACCTATTGATTGGTTAGACCATTGCTGCTATTGCCATGATATCGGTTATGATACTCATGACCAGGCAGAAATGCTAAAAGCTGACATGGCGTTTCTTGAGTGTTTGGAATCGAACAAGCGTGTTGTTACAAGAGGAGATGCTCAAGTTGCTCACTTTTACAAGACAATGTGCATAACAGGTAACTACAATGTCTTTACGTTTCTCTCTGTGACATGCCGCTTAGGATCTATGTCCTAGGTTGATTGAAACCAGAGCTGTCTGTCTTTGTTGGTACTCGTTGTGATATCTGGTAATGGCCGTCTTCAGTTAATGATATATCCTGAAACCTTCTGTATCGATTGCTCTCAGGTCTCAAGAACATTCTGATACCCTACAGAAGCTACCTTGTGAAGATACAATATGGGCAAAATCTACTCGACTTTGGCTGGATAATGAGCAACCTTAGCAAGAGAAGCTGGAGTTTTCAAAAGAATTGAGACATAACGAAGCAAATCGGAGATGCTTTGCGATCCCTGTAAGCCGTTGGTGTCTTCACTTTCGTTTTGTACATAGAAGTCGTAAAGAGGAGGAAACTGAGGATTAGGTACTGTAATATAGATAAATACGTTTTAATATGAAAATGTGGAAACGCTAGTAAGTCGTGTGCATCTTTTATCTTTAAAACCCTTTGTACATGTTTAGTAATGATTCGTATGATTTTGTTTGAGTCCAATAGTTCTAACAAAGGTTCTATATCACTTAAACGTAAACTCTGTGAACTACAATCATTTGGTCTAATGAGGTTTGCTTCCAGAATTTTTGAAGATGTTGCACTTTTGTACAATCATTTGGTTCCGCTCTGGTGTACCAAAACCAAAACTGGAGCGTGTTACATAGATATAAAAATAAAACCGTTTACACACTACCAACCTTTTTATACATACGAATTATGAAGTCTTCCTTGGCAAACACACATACACAAACCCATATGATCCTTTTGATTGATTAGAGACACGAGTAAGAGGAAGAGGCCTTATTAGAGCTTAGAGCTTAGTAGAGGCTGTTTAAAGAAAGATCGAACATTACTCTTAGCACACCAACACACCAAAATACTTGAAAACAAAATGGCTATTACATTTCTTAAAAACATCTCTTTTTCCAAATCATATACTATCACACGTAAGGGCATTTTACTAGTTCCGGCTTCTGCACTTCTCCATCACCCTTGGAGCTGCAAACAAACAAGATTTTTGTGTAAGCGATAGTTCTTCATTTCGTGCAGTATTAAATTGCTAGTGTTTAGGAGCTCTTCAAGGGGCGTCTTTTTCGAGCTCTTCCCCATTGATTATGTCTCTTTTCTCTGCAAAGTGTTTATAGACATCTTGCAAGAAGCTTAAGAATCATGAAAGTATTAGAAGGCAGTCTTGGTTCAAAAAGAAGACCACCTTCTAATACATCTTAAAACGGAGCAGACGAGTGTGGAACAGGTTGACTCTGCGAAAACAAGGGTGTAGAAAATAAAAACTAACCTAGGCCAATAGCCTCAGAGCTCTTCATGATTCTCAGCTTCTTGCAGGAGCATATAAACATTCTGCAGAGGAAAAGGCAGGAAAAACTTCAACGATCAGGATTCTTCAGCTAAGCTAGAATTTTGTCCTTAAAGATAGACATACAAATGACCAAGACTAAGATACTATTAGATGTAAGGATACAACAATTAAGCTGCTGATTGATCTCAGAGGTTTCTTAACATTAGCAATCAAAGACTTACTCCCAAGGGACATCACCAACCAGCATCCAGTCACTATCTTTATCTTCATAGGTGACAACATACTCAGAACCACGCAAGAGATCGGTCAAGCGACTCTCGTTTAACCCATCTCGGCCACACCCTTTATGAGAGCCAAACTGACCTGAAAATACCCAAAAAAATAAAACAGTTTACTAACTTAGTCATATGTCTTTTCTCAACGAAGGAAGCTAGAAAACGTTACCAATAGTGAAGCAACTGAACATCTTTTCAAGAGCAGAAGAGAGTTCGACGTAGCTCTTGTAAGTCTTGAGATCGATTTTCCTCAAGTAAGGGGCACCTTCCATGCTCACTTTGACATACAAGCAAGGCTCTGGTCCAGACTTAGCTTCTGCTTCAGTCTCTGAGTTATTATTATTATCACCACCTTGTTTCTGAGATTGAGAAGAAGCCATTGTGTTCTTCCTGAATGATCTAATTGGTGGCCAACCCACCACTTGTGCCCTGCTCACTCAAAACACATAAAAAAAAATCATAAAAGATCTAAAACAGAGATGTATCTGTGACAGAGATTTTCCGGCCAAAAAGGAGACAGCTTTTATCTTACTTTGAAGCTGGAGCTACTGCAGAGCTCTTCTTCTCCTTCACTGAAACGGCCGGTTTAGCGTCTTTCACGGCTGAGCTACCGGGACCCGTAACCGACCCGACATCAGTAATTGATCCAGGAGAGAAGACCCATTTGTTAGACCCATTAATGGCGTCGGAAAATACCCTTTTGGCCCCTGACACAGGACATGAGCTCTTGAGAGACAAGAATCTTGGGTCGACTCGCTCCGGTGACCCGGAACCGGGTAAACCGAGTCTCAACTCGGTGGCCTTGAAGAAATTCAGACCGTCTTCGTCATCGTTGTTGTTGTTGTTGTCTCTGGTTTTGGTTTTGTCAGACATTGATGTTGCTTCCATGGTTGGAAACTCTGACAAAACTATGTAATCATGCTCTGCTGCTACAGATTCAGGCATTTTTCTGATAATAATGTGGAGAAACTTTTGAAGCAGTTTAGTGAGTAGAAAAACAGTAAAACACTTTCTGCGAGAGTGGGGAAAACAAAAACAAAAAACATGAGCTGAGATCAATTGTGATTTTTTTGGGGAGATGATGGATGTTTCAGAGAAATGATAAAAAGGTGAGAGCTTTTATTTTTGTTTTAACTTTTTAGAAATTTGGCTCCAAGTCGTATTTACAAAATTATACAAAAAAGGTAATTTATATATATATATATTTATAATCAATATAATTAGAAGTAAGTTCTTTCCTCTTTGGGGTTTAACAGACAAATCATCACAGATTAGATTTTCTTAAATGTACTACTGTCTTTAGATTAATAAATTGTTTATACACGACAAAAAAAAAATTGTTTATACATGTATGAATCTATATATACGTAACACGTACACATCTACTTCCCGACAGGTCACTGAAAGCGTCCAGGAATCTTTCCAATTCTACCCTTGTCCCTCTCATTCTACTTTTTTATATTTTATTTTTACTTTTGTAAAAAACGACTTGCTTTTTCTTGTAGGCCCATGTTATATGCTACCCTGCATATTAGTAGCTAAAATACGCTTTTATTCAATTCACCTTGATGTATGCATCCAAATGTTGAAATGAGTCATTAGGTTTTCTTTTTTGGGTTAACCGAAAAGTTCCCTAGGCTGGAAATACTTGTGAGAAGTCTACAAGTGTAGGACCTATTTCGAACTTGGATCCGAGAGTGTGTATAATGAGTCATTGATTATTTCATGAACTCATTCATTTCAAGTCTTTTTTTTGGATGAACGAGAGTTATCTTCTTTTGGATTTATTAAAATCAGTGCCTTATATGCATTCGTTTAGCCAGTGAGTTATATAAACAACTAATGAGTTGTGAAGTTTTTTGTCACTGCAATATCATTTCATACAAACATTATAACACTACATATGATTTCTCTAACAACGGCGATCCATCCAATCTTCACAACCTATTGTATAAACACTAACACTTTTAGCTAACTACGCGTTTCACAATCGAATAGAGATTATTAAGTCGCCAATAATTGCAATGGAAGATGATTAGACTTGAGGATGAGGGTAAGTAGAGAATCTCGAAAAGTTTTTGGGCCCATGGGCTTCTCATTATTGGGTCCACCAGAAGCATGAAAAGGGGAAAGAAACAGTAGGGGTAGGTCTTTGCCACTTAGCCGCAGTAGCAATATTGAGCAGTGTTCCCAAAAAGAATTGTGGTCTCCACACACCACTTTTTATTTTACTGAGAGTTGGATTAAAGTCTTAAATAGGTGAAATTCAAAAAATAAACGATCAAGGTTAGTTTTAGTGTGTTTGATACTGTTGCTTATCAGCTTATACATCAAATTTCTATCGGATTTAATGTATTTTTGTTTCATGTACTACATATTTACATCTTTACATTCATGAAAAGTTCATAGTAAAATTTGTATATTTCTATCTTCATATTTTATAGATATATAGTTGTATGCTCCGGATTCTAAGCCAGTTTTTATTAGAAGGAAAGTTCAGAGATTCGTGGGGATAAAACGAGAACGTGATATATGATATATTACCATTTTCACCAACTAGTACTAATTCCCTCTTTATTAAATCATTTGTAACGACGATATATATTATACTTATGTAAGAAAAAGACGTGTAATCTGCAGTGTTACACCATGCATAGTAATTTGGTTAAAGCTTCTAAGGTGAATTCATCTTTGGATCTTATCCTATACCTTTTTAGATTTGTGTTTTAGTGTAAGTTCGAGGGTCTTAATCATAAGGTGCCTTTCTTTTCCTTTTCCTTTGTATCTCTCTTTTTCTGGGCAAGTTTTTTTGTCGTTTTAAAAATATCGCATCTTAAATTGCACCTTAACTCGCCATCCAGTCCTACCATTAGTTAATTACAAAGTTACGTACATAGATAAGTAAGGATAAGAATATTTCTTGAAATTTTTATCACTATAGAAATCATATCAAATCGATAAGCACTAAAGATTTGTTGGAGTTGAGCCCAGCGTATTAACTTAACTCTGATATGTATGGATCATTGTTGCTTCGGTGTGGCGATTATTTTTCAGGAGTAAAAATACATTTAGATTGATTATTTCTTCAGTATATATACTAACAAAAAATCAAGATGACATTACTAATGAAAGTTATGCTATTAATTTCCCATTTTCAATATGTAAATCTGCTACTTTGAAAAGTATGTTTATTCAAGCGGTATGTTTGTAACATAAGTCCAGTAAAAACACCATCATTTCACCCGAGTGACTGAATGACACAAGTACAAAATATAGTGTTTTATTTGAAAAACGTGTAAATATGAAAATTTAATAAATACTTTAAGTAGTAGAACAAAAAATATTTTTAACAATTCATAACTATCCCTCACAAATTTTACTCTATCAACTCTGATATTTCCTTTATTCAATGCATGTTTCACTATCATTGTTATCACTTATCAATCATCAAAGGTTTTTTTTTTTTGGTTAATGCTTATCATCAAAAAATTTGGTATACATAAAAATAATATTTGATTGAGTAGTAGTAATATAGGCATGAACGATTTTATTTGTTTTTCTAGCTTCTTAATGTAGTTCCGCTATATACATATTTATATTCTTCCTTTGATAAATGTATTCAATTGTTTTACGTCCGCAAGAAATATATATCTTGTTAAAACAGTTACTCAGGGGATAAGGTTATAATATATCATTAAAAACGTTATTCAGGGCTAGTGTCTTCTTTTTCGTTATATTCGTAGTGTAAATTTGTATGATTATATATTCCTTCAAAAAGGTTATTCAGTTATAGTCTTCTAATTGTTATATTCGATTTTAATATTCTATTTTATATATGACATGGAAATTATGACTAATTGAAAACTATGAATTAGTTGGGGATCGAGTGGAACTACACTAAACTTAAAAATGTTAAATCAGTGGACGATCGTACAATAACAGCGGTAGTGAAAGATCGATTTATGTCGTAATCGAAAAAAAAAAGAACAAAGGGACAGTGTGAATCTTTAGACAAAGCAGCCACTTAGCCCCTTGATTTAACGTCGATATAGAATCTCATGCTCCATTATATTTCATAACCTATATTGCGAATTTATCCGACGACTATAAAATGATTAGAATGCTACATTTTACGGCTTTCTATTTGTCGTCAAAATTGGCTCTCCTCAATTAACTATATGTGATAATATATGTAATAATATATTCAAATATACATATTATATTAGATCTTCGATATCGCTAAGTATTGTCTCTAAACTTACCATGCGTTCATGACTTCATGTTAAACTTTTTTTTTTGTTTTGAAAAACAGACTTCATGTTAAACTTGAATGATATGATCGTATATGATTCCAAGTATAAAATTATTATTATCAGTGACTAAAGCTATTACCATGCGTTGTATTTGTTATTATCAAATACTGCAATCATAAGATTCATTAAACTAGCATGTATATATGGTCTACATTTTAGAAAGTGCTTGATATTGGGAGATTGACTTTGTCAACCAGAGTCGACGTTTCTAAGTCATAAGCCTCAATGATAAATGCTCCATATGCATATTACGTTCCACTATCAAGATCATGGGGGAAAAAGCTCTTACCATATGAATACATGATGCTTATTCTATTTAACGACTTCGTATATATTAATTTATCCTTTGTATAAAATAAATTTGATTTGAAATCTATAATCTATTAATATTTAATCTATAAGTTCGAGTGAGTTTGGTTTAATACAATTGCGAAGAACCAAAACCGGTTTTTTTTAGAGCATTTTCAATGAATAACTCTATATTTTACTTCATTTTAAAATAGAGTTATGTTTTACTTTGTTCTATATTTAGATTAATTCCTTTTTTACTGAATATTGATTGACCTCTGATGATCTCTAGATTCCAATTATTGGAAAAAAAAACAAGTCAATGAGGCTTGGTGCTGACAATCTTTTGTTAAACCATTTTTTAAAATCAGTCGGTTATTAGTGAATTTTTCAATTGAGTTTTTTACCCAAATAATCACGGAACTGATGTAATCAAAAACAAACAAACAAAAATTTCACGGATATATTGTCTCGTGAATCGTTATAAACCGAATTTGAAACTTATATGTTAGGATTTGATATAAGGATTCACTTATGTTTATTACTCCTTATAATTTTAAAACTTTTAACATTAGACTTTGTACAAGGCCCAAGCTTCTGGTATGTAAAATAAGTAACCCAAATAAGCTATTATGGCCTAGTAATAAAATCAATCGCAAAAATATATTTATCTTTAATATCTAAAGTATATATACAATTATATATGTGTCAATTAGTTATTCAATAAATGATATTTTTACTTGTAATATTTTATTTTCTATGAAAACAATATATATATTTTTTAAACAAATAATTAATTGAAACTATTTTTGCGTAATCTCCTTTAAAAACAATATTTTACGTTATTTAATTTATTTATCGGTGGATTCTAACAATAATTTTTCATGAATTTTATCAAAATTTATAAGGAACTTAATGAAAATAAAATCATTGTAATGAAACAAAGAGGTATATAAAGGTTTTCTGTATTCTAGCACATAGTCACACACACATATATATATATATACACACTAAATTATATGCAAATAAAGTTCACATTCTGCAACTAAAACAAGAACTGCCTACAGCAATCTTGCTAATATAGAAATCTATCTAACTAATAATAAGAAAATTGTGGACACACTTTTTTTTCCTACGGGCCTATGGCAAAATGTGGACACTGTGTAAGGGTCCTTGATGTGTAATCGCGTAATAAAAAACTAATCAATGAGTTGAATAACTATTAATTAGCAATATTTATTAACACAAGTTGTCATTGCTCCTCCTAATGATTTAAATCCCTTTTTTTAGGCCTCCATGATTTAACTCCATATGTAATCACTAATTATGCTGACTTTATTCCAATACATATATATATATATATAATATATACATAAATAATATATATACTATTGTTTTAAAATGTGTCCTGTTAAATTCTCTAAAATCGATATTGCAAATAAGCTCAAAAGAAATGCATATCTTATTGGTTCGTCCTCACAGCAAGAACAAAC